AGATGGCTGATTAAGGAGTGGATGGGTGAATGGGGGCATATAAATGAGTGGGTGAGCAGATGAATGGATGGGGTGGGTAGGTAGTTGAATGTATAGATGGGTGGTTAGGTGGATAGATGATGGATGGATGGATAGATGGATGGATGATGGGTGAGTAGGTGGATGGGCAGATAGGAAATGGGTGAGTTCATGGATAGGAGGTGGATTGATGGGTAGGAGGTAAGGTGAGTAGGTGGATGGATGAGTGGTAGGGTGGATTAGTAGGGTGGGTGGGTGATAGGGTGGATAGTTGTGTGGGTAGGTGGGTGGGTGGATGGCAGGGTAGGCAGGTTGCTGGGTGGATGGGTGGGGAGCAAGGTGGGTAGAAAATGATGGGGGGTGAATGGGAGGAAGGAAGGGAGGGCAAGAAGGTGGGTGAGTAGTAACATTTATTACTCTGCTAGTCCCCTTATATCAAAGCTGTGTGCTTACCTGCACGCTCCCAATGGGCCAGAGAAAGCTACTGGTCCTTGCCAATAGGAGGCGCCCAGTGAATACTTAATGAATAAACTGAAAACCATGGGTCTCAGAGTTGGACACCACCCCAGAAACCCAGGTCAACCCTCTCTGAGGCCCAAGGAGGGGACCTGACTTCAACATCTCTCAGAGTTGGGCTGGGGGCGGGGGGGGTGGAGGTGCTCCATTCTCTGATCCGTAGGCTCTGCTCTGCCTGGCTACACAGTCCCTGGAAGGCGCCAGCTCAGTGACCACTCAGCCTCCTCCCAACTGAGACTGTGCTCCTGTGGATGGATTTGTCAAGGTCTTCTGAGGCTCTGGCCTGAGGGACTCTGTGGGGGAGAGAGAAGAGGGCCAGGCCTGGAAGGCCAGGTTGTATTTGGAGAGACTGGGGCATTGCCACCAGGGCCCTTGAGGGCAAAGGGCAGAGGTGGGGTTGCACAACACTGGGGCCATGCTGACAGCCTCTGCCCAAGGTGAGGTTAAATGGGAAATGGGTGCAGCTCTGCATGGACTGAACAGCAGGTGGGGTAGGGAGTTGCGTGTGTTCTGCAGAAACGTGGTCTGTCCTGAGAGGGCAAGGCCTCTCCGTCCAGGAGGAGCCCGGAGCCTCTGAGGAGTTGGAGAACAGAGCCGGAACCCGGCAGCTGGTGTCCCCTTATCCCAAAAAGGGGTGCAGAGGGCCGGGTGCTGGACAGACAGGCGTATGAGTGGGCCGATTCTTGGCAGGGCTACTCCAGGGGCCTCCTGCAGCTGGCAGAGCACCTGGGAAGTGCAGGTCTCCCTCCCAGCTGACCAGGCTCTGGCGTCCACCCCCAGAGGAATCTCACCCATTTTGGCAGGGGGTGGGGTGGAGGTCTAGATTGGTAGGCAGTCCCTGGGCCTGCTCCCAGACAAAAGGTCCTTTAGGAAGGCATGGCCATGAGGACATGGTGGTGGCTTTATGCAGGGAGAACGGGTCGGGGAGAAGGGGGCCATCACTAGGCTGGGCAGGCAGGAGAAAATGAGGCTGAGAGATGGGGCCAGTCCCCAGAGCCCTGAGTGAGTCCTGGTGGGGCTGGGGGAAGAACAGAGTGCTCTCGGCTGCTACCCCGCAGGCCTGGCCAACACCAGGCAGGTGCCTGGTGAGCTCGCTTCAAAGGTCTTCTCCTGGGGAACTCAAATCCAAACTAGAGACTAAAGCAGGGAGGCCTTTCCTCAGGGTGGCCCAGCAGGGGTTTCAGGGAACAGAAGAAGAAGTTGCCATTACTCTTCCTGGCCATGAATTAGGCAGGGCGCTGGGTCTCCCATCCCACACCAGCACCTGTGTTCCTTGGCTCCTCCCTGATACCCCAGGCCCAGCTTTGGGGCTTCGGGGCTACACACACACAAACACACACACACACACACACACGCACACACACGGTGCCAAGGACTCGACAGGGCAGGTGATGCAGGGACCAAGGGGAGGTGGCACCATTGGTGTGGGGTCCAGCAGAAGCCAGACTGGGCCTGATGCCATTGGCTGATGTAGCTATAAATAGCCAAGAACTTGAAATAGAAGTGGGGGAAGGGAGGGGGGCTAGCCTGGAGCTCAGTGTGGAGGAGCGCCTGTCATCTAGGAGGAGACAAAGCCCTGCTGATCTGAAGTGTCCGCAGAACATTCGGGAAAGCGGGATGAAGCCGAGAACTCTGCCAGCCAGTGGAGTGGAGGGGTGTGAGGGGCAGGGTTACCTGTGCCCACACAGCTCCCCCTCCCGTCCCAGGTGGCCCCTGCTCCTCTGCCTCCCGGAGGAGCCTGATGGAGATTCAGGCTGCCCCTTCCTCGCGGGAGCCGGTCAAGCCCCTGGTGCTGGAGACCCACGGGGACAGGGATCACTGGGCACTGCCTGCCCCGGCCTGGAGGAGGGAGACTCCTCTGCACCTTGACCTGCACCATCCTGTAGGAACCTCCCCGACTGGGAGGAGGCTCAGAGGCGCGGCCGACCTGTCCAAGGACGCACACTGCGCTGAGGGGGAGGCTCTGGGGACGGGAGCCTGGCTGCCAGCACCGGTGGTCTTCCTGCTCAGCTCCTTTTTCTCCTCCTGCCCACTGACCTGGGGGGTCTGGGCCCCAGGCCAAGACTGGACAACTGCAGGCCTGCAGGCCTGAACCCACAACGGGGCAGGGATGCCCACAGCTGCCCACACGCAGGTATGGGAGAGAACCCAGGGCCTCCTTCCTGAGTCCCTTCCCTCCCCAGTGACTTCAGCCCTGGGTCCCACCCCTCACTCTCTCGGAGGTTCCCCTCCCCAGGCGCCGCCCCTCTCTGCTCCCCATTTCCGCCGGTGGCAGCCCGGGAGGGGGCCGGCAGTCCTCGGGGAAGATAAAGAACCAGGGGATGGCGCGGCGCCACTGATCAGGCCCTTCCTCCCAGTCACCCCAACCGGAAACTGCGGGAGGGGCAGGATTTGGGGCAGTAGGGCGGGTGGAGGAGGGACGCTCGGGCGTGACCTCTCCCCTCAGGTGGCTGCCTGCCCCGCCCCTTCCCGAGGCCAGGACCCACTGGCGGCTGCTGGCTGCTCCTCTGGCTGGGGGAGTGGGCGCGGTCAGGTTGGGT